ATATTTGCTTTAAAATTTTTGAGTATCGAATAAATTTAGTGCTCTTTTTTGACAAAATGAAATTTAATAAATGTAACAATATGGTGCTTTATTTACTTTATTCAATGACTTACCGGCATCATGATGTACATTCTTTAATGTTAATGATATGATTTTTTAAACCTGAGATGGGGTACTTTTCCTTAAATATGGTTCATCCACAGTTTCAAGCCGAGCACGTGAGTAATGACAATATTTTTGTATAGCTTTCTACTTTAATTTTTTTTTATAGTTTCTAATAGTGATGTGCTTTCTTTCATTTTGATTTAACCTTTACTTAAATTTTGAGTACTTCTAGGGAAAATCTTATGGTAATATAACTAAAGTTGTTAATTTTGCATACTAATTTATGTTTGGGTTATTTACCATAAACATCAAGGTTGACAGAAATCTTTGACATAATGCCACGTGGCATTTTATAATTGGATGGTCTAAAACACAACTAGCTTTTCATTCAATCATCTACTATCATATGCAATTATGTCAAGCGTTCCGTCAAATTCTTCAAGCAAAGTAGCTTTATCCTATTTATATTTTCTAGTTTTTGTTGGGGACTACATGGTAACATATGTACATAAAGTTGTCCATCCACTCGAATTTGTAGCCTAATTCACTATTTTGCAATGAACTTTCGTGAATTATTGAGATAATCTGTCGAGATTGACAGTTGAACTATAAGCAGCTAATGAAATATTTTGTCTAATTTATTACTTTGCATGTCATGTTATTTCTACACGATTAATGCTTGTAACTAATTTTGTCTGATTAATTGCTTTGATGTGATTGATTTTCACACTCAACTCACGTTCTACTTTACGTACAATAACTATCAAATCAAGATTATCCTATCTTCCCAATCTGTGCTTGATAACTACAGAACTTATGGTATGTTGATGTGCATTATGATGAAAATTTATAGATCACGTGTGCACATTATTGAATTTACAAATCATGAAGATTGCAAACTGATTTACCGTCGAATGCATATTCATGTTCAGGACTTTGAACTTCAATTCAATTTAAGTACGAGTATCAAGAATACCAAATTTCTCTATTAATCATGACACAAGTCATGCTAGGGGGTAGTATTTGGAACTACAATCAAAGTGGTTTATCCCCTCTCAACTTTCATTCATCATCTACATGAACAAACTATCCCACATGCGATACAAAGAATCTCAAATTATTACGCATACCCATAAAGTTGAAATTGCAATGATAAGAATTTCGCACAATCAATATGTTGATATTTAATAGCATGAAAGCGGCACATTCGAATATTTAAATTCAAACAATAGCAAACAGATGAAACCGACAGTTGAAATGTCTATCCCAAAATTTCAAAAATTCGAATTCGACAGTTTGTTTCAACTATTGATCTATTAGAGCTGAGGAGTGTGATTGGAAGAATTATTAGTAACACTAAGTGTGATTGGAAGAAGTAATTCATAAGATTAAGTGTGCTCATCAATTCTCAATTATCAAAATGACAAAATCTTCCGAAATAATCTACCTAATGCTTCACCAAATAGGGGTTATCATTCACAATATTTTGTGGAGGGTAATGGTATCTTTATTCAAAAAGATTTCAAGGAACAAATTGAATTAATGAATAATAATTTGATAAATTTCAAAAACACATGATCATGCTATATTTAACAATTCAAAAATAATAAGTTATAAGATAAAAATTAAACAATTCGTAAATGACAACCTCTCAAAATGGAAGGTGAATCTACTAATAATTTCTTGTTATTGAAATGGAGAAGATGTGAAGAAAATTGGGGTTTTTTATACATGAAAATTGATTTATACATTCATATGAATTTTCTGTTGTTGTTGTTGTTATTATTTTTATTTTTATTTTTTTTGCTTTACAATTCATATTACCCAATGTATGTATATATCTAATGGTTTATAATACACAACTCAAAATATCACACCATGGCATTAGTGAGCATTAAATGCTCCCAAAAATGTATATCTATGGGTGATTCAGATATTTCAAACTCAAAAAGTGACTTTTTAGCATCATTTGTTAAAGTAACAACTTTTGGTGTATTTTCAAATTTTGTGACTTCTATGAAAATGCCCCTTTAATAATTTACCATGATTTAAGATAAATTATATTTAAGGAAATTGCACCCGATGTCATTTTTGTATTGGCATTTATAAAAATGCATATTTTGATAATTTTGACAAAAATGTTTCTTTTGAACCTTTTTACCCTTCTAAAAATTTTAAATACCTTACATGTCCTTCATTAATTTTTTATTTGACTAGTTGAAAAAGTTGTACCAAAATTTTGAAAACATCACACTAAACCCATCCCCACCCCGCTCCCATACCCATGGACAGAACCCACAACCCACCCTATTACTTGAATTTTCTCTTCTTCTTCCTGCCATCTTTCTCCTCGATTGTTTAAAATTAAACCCTAAACCACAACACTCCCATGTTCAATAAAATGTCCCACCCCATACTAACCATTCCTCATTTTCACATCTTTCTCAAGTGGTTGACTTTTCCTTCAATAAGAAATTTGTATAAACTCCAATAAGAAATTGACTCGATTTTCTTCTTATTTCTAATGCAAGTTATGTTCATCTCCCATTGTTTCATTAACTAATTTTTAAGATTCTTGAATTTTTTAATATTATCTAAAAAATGTACGTTTTTTTAGGAAGTTGTACTTTTTCCTCCAACGGGTGGTGCATTTGCCTCAAAATTAGAATATACGGTCTCAATGGGAAAAGAAAATGGAACACCTTACAACGTATCTTCATAGACCAAAAACTACGAGATCACCCCCTTCATTCTGGGGTGACGGAGGGATCGTACCATTCAAGCATGTCCATTGTGGTTTATTTTCTCATGAATTAAGTTATCGTAAGGTATTTAGGGTTTGCTTGGATGTAGGTTGAATTTGTGTTTGTTAGAATATACATTTTCATTGTTGTTTATTAGAATATATATGTTCATTGTACATTTAGCAATGTAGGTTGAATTTTCGATTGATATGTTCAAGTTATTGCAATATGGTTCAATTTGTCGATTCATACCTTTTGTAATATGGTTAATTATATTGTCATTATATGGTCATTTTATGTTTCTTTCTATGGTTGATTCAACTTGTTGCAATGCAGTTCATTTTATGGTCATTTTGGATTAGAAAATTTAATTTATGTTTACACATGAGAAGTTTCCTTAAAGTACAGACGAAACATCTGTCGAGAAAATTGCCATTCTCGATAGATGGTTACTAGATTTTTCGATAGTTTGAATGGATGACTCAATAGTTATAATAAAATAAAAATGTGTTTAAGTTGCTTCAATATGTATCATTCGAATTCATTACAAGTTAAACCATTCGCTAATATTGGAATTTGTTCATGTTATTGGTATTGCAGATAGCTTTCGAACTTCCTACACCAAGAGTGGCCAGAAGAGATTGAAGAATAGTACGCAATAGGACCTTATTGACTCATACTACTATGTGTTGCTTTTGGACTTAAATTTATCGTATTATTTTGAAGTTATATCATGATATGTATGTCAAACAAATTATTTTTATGTTCTTTAAATTCATGTTCATGTGTAAAAAGACATTTTCATTAAGTAGAGGGTCGAACTATCTAGATATCATTTGTAAGGCATTGTATGTAAATACGTTTGATCAATCGTTATGCATGAATATTTTGTTTCGTTTACTACTTAACAGTTCACAGTTAATAAAATCTTATGTTTTGTAAAAAGTAAAATATTTTTTGTACCCCAATGAAAGCTACAACGATAATAACACAAAAATGACAATATAACATAAACAACGAACATCATCATTGTAATGTGCAAAATACAATTTCAAGCCTTAAATATCATTCAACTTTACATGCTTGGGGTTAGAACAAGGTTTGAACATATGGCCCGATTGTGCCCAACTCGATCCCCATATGACACGGAGAATTTTAGAGTATTACTCATCCCTTAAAATTTGAGATGTCAATGATAAGCAATCGAAACAATTCATATATTGGCCTTTAATATCATGCAAGTGGGACCTATGAATAAATTATACCAAACAGTAGAAAATTAGTGAGACTGACAGTACAAACGTCTTTCTCGATATTTACCAAGTGTCGAGTTTAACATTTTAACTATCAATCTTTACATTCTAGTTCGATGGCTGAACAGCCAGTGTTTCGATTAGAACCTGACAAAAATATTATGGAATAATTTTTATTATTTATTTTTTGGTTGACAATTCTATTATTCATTGTATATTAAATATATTCATAGGTTTTTCTTACACAAGTCTAACATCAAATCATTATATTAATTAGCATTAATGAGCAATAAATATACTCAAAAAGGTATCTACAAGGGTAATTTGGACATTTTGCACCCAAAAAATATAATTTTGATCACCTTTTGAAAAAGTGACAAATGTTTTTGCAACTGATAATGTAGGGATATCTATGCAAAATTCTCACTATATTCTCAACGTTTATAAAGAGATAATTTCGTCCAACACTAGAGTTGAACCCGTAAAAAGAGAAAAGTCCCTTTTTAAAACATATTTTAACAAGAGAAATTGTACCCTATGTCATTTTTTGGATTGACATTTTAAAAATATGACCTTTTATTAATCTTTGTAAGAGTGTCAATTTTGAACTTTTTGTACCTGTAGAAAATTTAAATACATTGCATGTCATTAAATAAAGATGATTTGCTAAGATGAAAAATAGTAGAAAAAGTAAAAGATATTATAGTGGTGAGTCCAGAAGTGATCAAGAGCCGAAAAGACATTCACTAGCTGTATAATAAAGAGAAATATGGCTAGAGTGCATAAAATATAGTTCTTTAGTTTTTACTCGTCTATAGATACGTAAAGTTTAAATTTTTTATTACAACTCTAGCTAAGATGAAAAATAGTAAAAAATATTATATCAAACCCATAAAGAAAATGCACCCATCTATTCGAATTTGAAGACTTTTCACTCCACAGTAAACACTTTACCATCTCACGATTGATAACCCACATCCAGTCGGAGTACATTTCAAGTTCAATCTTCGATGGTTCATATTTGGCTCCAACTTCTAATCGAGGTAAATATCAATTTCATTTTCTTTTGGATTTAAATATTTTCAATAATTTGTGCTTTATTTTTGTTATGGTTGATTGCGATTTGAAGTTGAGGGAAAAATTCATATTTAATTTAATAAGTGACCATATTCAAGTTCCTAAAAAAAAAATGAGATTTTTAATCATTTCCCATGTAATGTTGGGTAAAAAAATTTAGTTTGTTTGATTTTTTGTTTATGATAAACCTAGATTTGTCCCCGTATTTTTCTTCTTTTTTATTTGGTATTCGTATTCTTTGAACTAGATCTATTTATTTAAATTTGAAACTGGGATTATTTAATATTTAATAGCATCTGTGCTTTGCTAATGAAAAGCAAAAATGGGTGAAAAATATAGTGCATTCTTATTTATTGGAGTACATTTAGGCTTGACTTCAAAGCAAGAATATAAGAAAAATTAGTACGCTTTTGTTTAGTTTGGATGTATGGCTTTGACAATTTTACTTGATTTTGAAGTTTTACGAATGATTTCTTTCCAAATATGTTATTGTTTTGGATGTTATCATTAAACAAAATTCCTGTTTTATTATGTTATGAATATGGTTTTGAGTTTGTATCAAATTAGTCTCTGGATCAGCGTAGTTGCATTTATTTGTAAACTTGTTCATTTATCTATACATTTTTAAATTTTTTATCGGGTCATTAGTTTGATTTTTGATGAATAAAAAGTTATGCTTCTTCCGTGATTACGTTTTCTTAAAAACTTCATTTTTCGGTTTGCAAGTACAATAATTGAGATACATATGTCGGAATCTTTTTTATCTTTTATTGACAGTAATATGTTGAATTGATTTATGGTCGGTTTACATTACCTTTGTGAAAAAAAATAATTTTGAGTTTAATATAAATGTAGGCTGAATTTGTGAGTTGATATATTTTTAAATTTGATGCAATATGATTCAATCTGAGGATTCAAACATCTTATTCATGTTAGCACATGGAGAGTTCACATGTAGTTCTTATGGAACCCATCTATCAACTAAACTATCATTATTAACAGTTATTTTCTGGAATTCTTGACAATTGGTTATAGTTTCTTGACAGTTATGATACAATGTCAAACCTATTTCAGTTGTTCTTCTACGTGGGTTACAAAGTAAATGTATTGCACATCATCATGTGGCCTTCGGTAGTTGTTCATTTTACTAATTTTTACATATGAATATCATGTTTGCTCTTGCAAAAGGTAGATTTAAATATTTTCAATAATTTGTGCTTTATTTTTGTTATGGTTGATTGCGATTTGAAGTTGAGGGAAAAATTCATATTTAATTTAATAAGTGACCATATTCAAGTTCCTAAAAATAATTGAGATTTTTAATCATTTCCCATGTAATGTTGGGTAAAAAATTTTAGTTTGTTTGATTTTTTGTTTATGATAAACCTAGATTTGTCCCCGTATTTTTCTCCTTTTTTATTTGGTATTCCTATTCCTATTCTTTGAACTAGATCTATTTATTTAAATTTGAAACTAGGATTATTTAATATTTAATAGCATATGTGCTTTGCTAATGAAAAAGCAAAAATGGGTGAAAAATATAGTGCATTCTTATTTATTGGATTACATTTAGGCTTGACTTCACAGCAAGAATTATAAGAAAAATTAGTACGCTTTTGTTTATTTTGGATGTATGGCTTTGACAATTTTACTTGATTTTGAAGTTTTACGAATGATTTCTTTCCAAATATGTTATTGTTTTGGATGTTATCATTAAACAAAATTCCTGTTTTATTATGTTATGAATATGGTTTTGAGTTTGTATCAAATTAGTCTCTGGATCAGCGTAGTTGCATTTATTTGTAAACTTGTTCATTTATCTATACATTTTTAAATTTTTTATCGGGTCATTAGTTTGATTTTTGATGAATAAAAAGTTATGCTTCTTCCGTGATTACGTTTTCTTAAAAACTTCATTTTTCGGTTTGCAAGTACAATAATTGAGATACATATGTCGGAATCTTTTTTATCTTTTATTGACAGTAATATGTTGAATTGATTTATGGTCGGTTTACATTACCTTTGTGAAAAAAAATAATTTTGAGTTTAATATAAATGTAGGCTGAATTTGTGAGTTGATATATTTTTAAATTTGATGCAATATGATTCAATCTGAGGATTCAAACATCTTATTCATGTTAGCACATGGAGAGTTCACATGTAGTTCTTATGGAACCCATCTATCAACTAAACTATCATTATTAACAGTTATTTTCTGGAATTCTTGGCAGTTATGATACAATGTCAAACCTATTTCAGTTGTTCTTCTACGTGGGTTACAAAGTAAATGTATTGCACATCATCATGTGGCCTTCGGTAGTTGTTCATTTTACTAATTTTTACATATGAATATCATGTTTGCTCTTGCAAAAGGTGAATGTCCATATACGCACATATCTCCTCGCAAAAATTTAAATTTCATCAAGATGATTCTTGATAAATTCGATGTGGGTCGAAAAATGAATTGTCAATATTCTTGTCTCGAGTCCTAGCAAATTTTCGTGACGATAAACATCTCATTTTTGCATAAATGGACAAAATCTAATGTCATTGGAGGAGTGCTAGAAAGGTACTTCAACGTCATCTTCTAGTGAAGGAGTTGCCTCGAAGGTGCCCTCAAATGCTACCGATCCAATTAAAAATGAAGAAGTGATGGTGATAGAGAAATGACGTTTGATGCGAATCCGAATACTGTTTGATTCTAATTGAACTACGTACATTAGGAGAGGCAGGAAAAGAGGAAATACATGAATTAATTGAAAACATTATCCTAACTTTTTGAATGGTTGAAAATAGTGAAACTTAGCATTTTATGAAGCTGAGGTATGTAATCTTTGTAATTTGATGATGGAAAACATTTATTTCCCACCAAAAATATTTTGGCGTCTTACTTCCCTCATATTTTTAGCGACAATCTTTATTATTTGTTGCAACTTCTTACATTTCACGAAAGCTTTTTATATCCCCTTATATTTTTTTGTACTTATTTTTTTCATCACAGTCTTCGCAACAAACTATAAAAATGTGTCGTATTAAGTCACTTATTGCGACAATTTTTTGTACATCAAGAAAAATCTTAACACGAAATCACAATTTTGTTGTAGTGATTGTATAACTTGTTTTCGCATCTGTGTAGTTAATTTGTAATTTGCAAAAATATAGTTGTTTAATCGATTGTGTAGCTTGATTGTGTAATTGTTATTAATTGTGTATTATAATCATGGTCGTGTTTGGGTATATTCAGCCAAGTACAAAAGATTATATGGACTTCCAATTTTTTTTTTTTTTTTTCAAATTTAAACGATCGCCCTATGTGATATAATGACCATCGCTAACTTGAAATGATGAAAAATTGCATTATATGAAAATCAAATGAATAAATTTGAATGATGTTAATAATTTATACACATTAATTGATTACAACTAGTAATGACTAACAACTACAAATAAGGATTAGCATCTAAGTGGTGTCGTTGGAGTATATTTTTCACATCATTAAGTGTGTTCATCAATACTCAACTACCAAATAACAAAATCTTGACAAAGAACTTATCTAATGCTTTATTAACTTCAATATCTTTATTCAAAAAGAATTGCAAAATCAAACTGAAGGAATAAATAATAACTAGCAAAGTTGGATTAATATGAGCATTTTGTATTTAACAATAATAAAATAGTAAGTTATAATAAAAAAATTAAATAATTTGTAAATGCTAATCTCTCAAAAAATTGGAGATTAATCCAATAATACTTCTTTTTTATTTTGGAATGGATAAGATGTTAAGAAAGTTAGGGTGGAGTTGGAGTACGAACATCGGTGCTTATATTGATATGAATTGTCGTTTTTTTTTTCAATAACAATTCCGTTATCCATTGGATTATAAAAAAATTCGGTGGTTTTTCTAATCATCAAATCATGGCTTTAATGAGAATTAAAATCATACATTAATGAGTATTAAATGCATCAAAAAGTTTTCTCCAAGGGTGTTTTTGACAATTCACATCAAAAGTGACATTCTTAAACACTATTAATGTTGACAATTTTTGATGCATTTACAAATTTGATGACATCCATGAAAATTCTCCTTTAAATAATTAAGGAAAAATTCTCAAGTACAAATGTTTCAAAATATTATTTCAAAACTAATAACTTCGTGAAAAATTTAAAAAATCAAATTTTCGTGACGATAAACATCTCATTTTTGCATAAATGGACAAAATCTAATGTCATTGGAGGAGTGCTAGAAAGGTACTTCAACGTCATCTTCTAGTGAAGGAGTTGCCTCGAAGGTGCCCTCAAATGCTACCGATCCAATTAAAAATGAAGAAGTGATGGTGATAGAGAAATGACGTTTGATGCGAATCCGAATACTGTTTGATTCTAATTGAACTACGTACATTAGGAGAGGCAGGAAAAGAGGAAATACATGAATTAATTGAAAACATTATCCTAACTTTTTGAATGGTTGAAAATAGTGAAACTTAGCATTTTATGAAGCTGAGGTATGTAATCTTTGTAATTTGATGATGGAAAACATTAATTTCCCACCAAAAATATTTTGGCGTCTTACTTCCCTCATATTTTTAGCGACAATCTTTATTATTTGTTGCAACTTCTTACATTTCACGAAAGCTTTTTATATCCCCTTATATTTTTTTGTACTTATTTTTTTCATCACAGTCTTCGCAACAAACTATAAAAATGTGTCGTATTAAGTCACTTATTGCGACAATTTTTTGTACATCAAGAAAAATCTTAACACGAAATCACAATTTTGTTGTAGTGATTGTATAACTTGTTTTCGCATCTGTGTAGTTAATTTGTAATTTGCAAAAATATAGTTGTTTAATCGATTGTGTAGCTTGATTGTGTAATTGTTATTAATTGTGTATTATAATCATGGTCGTGTTTGGGTATATTCAGCCAAGTACAAAAGATTATATGGACTTCCAATTTTTTTTTTTTTTTTCAAATTTAAACGATCGCCCTATGTGATATAATGACCATCGCTAACTTGAAATGATGAAAAATTGCATTATATGAAAATCAAATGAATAAATTTGAATGATGTTAATAATTTATACACATTAATTGATTACAACTAGTAATGACTAACAACTACAAATTTTTTAGTGCATTGATAATGAATACGAAGTTTTTCATCAATCTTAAGACAATTCTTACTAAGATCAGATATTTATATCTGAAACTACGATTGAAGTGTTTTTGTTCTTTCACCACTTTCGTTCATCATCCACATGCACAAACTATCCCCCATGTGACATGATGAATCTCATATTATTATTCATACATGAAAATTTGAGATAGCAATGATAAGTTTTTTTTCACGATTTATAGAGGTCAAATAACTAAATTTGTTCCACTTCAAAGGTTATTTTCGACTACATGGATTTATCAGGTGGAAGCAATGTCTCGTTGGACCTCAATAAATCTCCTTACATACCTAGTTCGTTCCTATTGTTTTCCTTGTCATTAAATAGGACGATGATGATGTCTTGTTACCAAGTGGTAGGAGAATAGTTTCACAATTCCTTTTTCTAACTTGGATGACGTTTCTAGTCAATCATCTCAATCACTAAACCATGAAACCGATGATGTGTTCGACTAACAACAATGAGTTGATTCCTAATGTTCCACCACCTGAGGTTTTATTATAAGCTCGGATGATGAGGAGAAGCTAGTTGGAGCGAAAAATCGAATGTTGACAATGCTTGAATCTGGTAAAAAATGCTTATGTTATCGCATATATTTCACTTTTCTACATTTGTCAAATATTACATGATAATGTATAAATGTAATATTGTGTATTTGATAGGTCATTATACCCAGATATTTTATCTAGTTTACTACTTAACAAAGAACTGTCGAGAATTACAAAGATTATTTGTCACGATTGATAGTTAATGAAATTGTATGTTTTGGAAGAAGTGGAAGTGTATTTGTACACGAATAAAACTTATAATGGTAATATTAGGATAATAATAATAATATAACATAGATGAACGTCATCATTGTATAGAATCGCAATAGGGAGGGTATGGGACAGGTAGGCCATTTCCACCCCTATCATGTTGGGTATTTTTGTCATCTTGTCTCATCCACATACCCGATTAAAGTGGGATGGGATCGGCGTGTGGTGGGACGGGTCCCTTGCTCCCATTTGTTCCCCCATTTAGTTTTTATTTTTTTTATATCTTTAGTTAGTAAATATTATTATTATTATTTTTTAAATTTGTTAAGAACAACTTATATTCTCTTTAAAATTGATGATAAATCTTTTATTTTTGTTTGCTGAAAAACTTAAATATGAAGTTAACTTGAAAAGGGGCAGGGACTATATTTTCTGAACATGCTTTGGGACAATGACCCCCAACCCTGCCCCTATCCCATTTACCCGGTTAGGAAAGTAATCCCCACCCCATTCGAGAGGGGCCTATGGGTATCAAGTTGAACGAGTCTTTTTTTGTCATCCCTATCATTTTAATATATAAAATACAATTTCCACTCATCATCTCCACAGACAAAATGTCCATTGTACGACACGATGAATCTCAAATTAGTATTCATACTTGATAATTGAAGATAGAAATGATAAGCATTCATCACAATTAACGTACAAGTTGCACCTACGAATAAATTATATCAAATAATAGCAAAATGATAGTTTAAATAACTTTCTTGACAATTACAAAATGTTGAATTCAATATTTTAGCTGTCAATCTCAACGGTTTTGTTTGACAATTCAATTGTTGATCGTTATGGTTACTACGTAAGGATTAGTATCTAAGTGGTGTCATTGGAGTATATTTTTCACATCATTAAGTGTGTTCATCATTGCTCAACTACCAAATAACAAAATCTTGACAAAGAACTTATCTAATGCTTTATTAACTTCAATATCTTTATTCAAAAAGAATTGCAAAATCAAACTGAAGGAATAAATAATAACTAGCAAAGTTGGATTAATATGAGCATTTTGTATTTACCAATAATAAAATAGTAAGTTATAATAAAAAAATTAAATAATTTGTAAATGCTAATCTCTCAAAAAATGGGAGATTAATCCAATAATACTTTCTTTTTTATTTTGGAATGGATAAGATGTTAAGAAAGTTAGGGTGGAGTTGGAGTACGAACATCGGTGCTTATATTGATATGCTTTCAATAACAATTCCGTTATCCATTGGATTATAAAAATATTCGGTGGTTTTTCTTACATTAGTCTAATCATCAAATCATGGCATTAATGAGAATTAAAAGCATACATTAATGAGTATTAAATGCACCAAAAAGGTATCTCCAATGGTGTTTTTGACAATTCACATCAAAAGTGACATTCTTAAACACCAATATTAATGTTGACAATTTTTGATGCATTTACAAATTTGATGACATCCATGAAAATTCTCCTTTTAATAATTAAGGAAAAATTCTCAAGTACAAATGTTTCAAAATATTATTTCAAAACTAATAACTTCGTGAAAAATTTAAAAAATCAGGTGATTATATTTGTGACCTCTAATAAAATGTTTTGAACAATAATTTATTGGGATATTTTTATGGATGTCGCAAAATTTGAAAATGAACCAAAATTTGACACTTTTACAATTATTGCACAAAAATCACTTTTTGGATGTGAAAAGTCCAAATCATCCTTGGAGATACCTTTTTAGGAAGCATTTTAGTACTTATTAATGCATGTATTTAATAGTATTTAATGCAATGATGTGATCACTTGACTAGTATAAGCTAAAACCATGATTATACCCCTGTTTGATCCTCATTAAATTAAATTACATTATATTTCATTTTTCTCTCTCCTCTTTTCAATCACACAATTTTTCATAAAATAATATTACACGTAAATCGAAAACTTTTTCTTTTTTTTGAACAACTCATTTTTCTAAAAAATACTATTCCCCCATTTTCATTTTCAGATAAAGGGGGTCAAATAGGGGTTATATGTATTCTATAATGCGTAATAGAATTGTTCAAAAAATTCATTCATTCCTAGGTTGAGTGAACACGAGATTTTCTCTCAAAAAATAAAAAAATAAAAAAATTCTAAACTTTGGTTGTAGCTCCTCCATTCCAATATCAAGAAGAAAGTAATCATGGAATATCTTCCATTTTGAGATGTTAACGTTTATAAATTGTTTAATTTTTGTATATTCTAACTTACTGTTTTTCAATTGTTAAAGACTGCATAATCATATTATTTTTCAATTTTTTCATATTATTATTTATTCATTAGGTTTGAATTTGCACATGTTTTTGAATGAAGACAATGTTCCCATAAAATGTTGTAGAACATTCCCTATTTATTCAATGATTTGTGAAGTTTTTCTCATTTGAAAGTTGAGCATTGATGAACATAATTAATACTATGAAAAATGCATTCCATTCACAACCCTCAAATGATATAGCATACTGTAAAAATCAACAGTTGAAATGTCAAAAAATTCTGTCAAATCCAACAATTTAAATGTCAAGCTCGACATTTCAACTGTCATTTTTTTATGTATTTGCTACTGTTTGGTATAATTTATTTGTAGGTGTCAGTTGCATGCTAATAAACTCCGATATTTAAATTATGTTAAATTCTTATCATTACTATTTGAAATTTTTAGGTACGAGCAATAATTTGATATTCATTATGTCACACGAATGAAATTTCATGTATGTGAATGACGAGTGGAAGTGGCGAGGGAACAAAACCACTTTATTCTTAGGTCCAAGTTAATATCACCATAGTAGGACTTGGGTTATGATTGATAGAGAAGTTTCGTATTCATGATCCATGCACTAAAATCGAATTGAAGTTCAAAGTCCAAATTAGATTAGTTTTGCCAAATTATCGAATCAATTCGTTCAAAAACGTAGATTAGTTTTGCCAAATCATCCAATCTATTAACATACAGAACATTAGCACCAAAAGAATCGAACAAATTACAATAATTAATGTATGTGGTTCATACATCAATAACATTCTCTAGCAATGTACCAATATTAGCATAGATACACCGTTAACAAACTACAAAAATTGAACATATAAGCTCCAAATTCTGACCCATTTACAACATTTCAGCATTCAAAAATGGCCTCCATGCCCATTCACATCCAAAATCTTTACGGGTCATACACATCAACCATTCAAATCTCCAAAGACCATAACTTAGAGAACCTGTAAAATTATTTTGCCCACTAGCACATCATACATAAATAAAAGTCATTGTATTTGAAAGTATGTAATACAAGAACTTCACTATTCCTTGACTCTTTCCCTACACCCTCTAGAGAAAGGAGTCTTCGTCAAAGCTGTAGGCACTCAAACGCGTGTCGAGAGCTTCTTCGTTGCAACGGCATCATCAACCACATTTGGTACGGCAGTCACCAATGGCATATCCAGGTCAGCCCTTCCTATGGACGAAGCAAAGTTCATCTACAAAAATCAGTAACATTCATACATGTTAATTCAAAACAAACCTTTAAGATTAGCTTAACAAATTCGGCATATGACTTCAAATGTAGATAGAAGTTACTCAATTGTCGAGAATTCTAGTGACAATTCTTTTCGACAGATGGTTCCATAACTATATAGAGTGGCAATTACATTTCAACGAGTATACTTACAAAGAGTGTAATATTTCGATTATTTGTAGGTAGTGAAAAGTGTAATGCATGATCAAGCAAATATATTAATAAAGAACATGCTCTAGCAAAATGAGGGACATCACCCATGCATATAATATGTATTCGCTTATAAATGGTGGTGTCAAATTATACGCGATGAAATAACTTTAAACAAGTGCTCAATGAAATTGAGGAGAGGGTGTATAATGTTCATGTATGTATAAGTACTCAGATAATATGATAAACTCAAGTTCCAACATTTGAAATGCAAAGAGAAATGACAAGCTTCATTCATTACAATCCATAGGAGACATACCCCTCCATTCGAATGACACAAACGTGAATGGAACAAAATCAACTGAATTTTCAAAAACATACGAGGAAGCAAACCCACTTGAAGAAATGTAGTATGAAAGCCTCCAATGTATTCATTATTTTCAAAATAAAAAACATTAGTATACAGAAAGAATAGAACACCCTTATCAAATTCATAAGTATAAGTAAAGAAAGAGAGTAAAATAGTGTAATAAGTACATGACATTAAAGTTTAATCAACATTTGAAGTTCCATAAAACAAATTAATAGCCTAAATGTATGAATTCCAGCAATATTCCATTTGCATATTCAACCTAAACTTTTGAATATTTGAGTACAAACATTGGCAGGCAAACTAATATAAATACAAGAATAATAAAAGCTTATTACGAAACTTACACACGGATCTTCGGAAGAATTCATCAAAACTAATAGGAACCCAACACAAACCTACAACAAAATCCAAGTATTTTACATTTCACACTCACGAAATTGAAAAGTAAACAATAGAAAATTTCATTAATGGAGTGAAAATGGAAAGACGGGCTCCGGCGATGACCGCAAGTTTGACAAAATAAATCCACTTCACACTCACGAAATCGAAAAACAAACAAAAGAAAATTTCATTAATGGAGTGAAAAATGGAACGACGAGTTTCAATGATGACTGAAGGGCTTCATCGAAAATTGTTTTGTCGTCAATTGGCGGACGGCGCAAAGTTCGAGTAAGAAAGAGGGGAGTGCATTTAGCTCCCATTTGGCTTCCATTAGAACTCATCAATTTAATTTAAATATCTCTCTTTTCTATTTTCAATCACACAATATTCAATAAAATAATATTTCACGCAAATTGAAATTTTTTCATTCTTTTACAACTATCAATTTTTCAAAAAAAATTATTTCCCCACTATAAATCCAAGCAACGGGGGCCAAGCAGGAGCTTAGGGTTAGGTTCGTATTAAATGAGAGAGAGATGGTATCTGGGCTCTTTTCACATGTTTTGTTTTTAATTGGTTGTGATATTTGTCCACTTTTTGGTACAACATTTTCATCTTGTCAAATCACATTTACCATATTTATTTAAGGACATGCAAGGTATTTAAATTTTTTCAAGAACAAAAAAGATCGGAAGTTACATTTTGCAAAGATTTTTAATAGGTGACATTTTTAAAATGTCATTTCAAAAAATACCATGGGATGCAATTCCCTCTAAGTTAATTAAACAGGCTACGATTACAATAACATACAATTTATGATCATATCTACAAATCACACAAATCAATAATCATATAAGGCATAATTTATGGATTACAATCATATTTTTAATTGCAAATCATACAATTAAGAGGTCTTAAAATCATTTATTAGTCAAAAATCACACAAGATCACAGTAACATAAGACAATTTATGGGTCACATTCATATATTTAGTCGCAGTTCACACGTTTAGTAGGTCACAAATTATTTATTGATCATACGTTACCCAATCAATTGATTACAAATTACCTAAGTAATTGCTCACAAATGCTATTCACCCAACTACCACTTATCTCTCATTCTTCACATGTTTTATCCTCAGTATTTTCGTTGACAATCACTTTCACCCCACCCAACCATTCCATCCCTATTGTTGGCAACCATAGAAAGACAGATATACAACCACCACTAAATAACATAGAAAGATAGATCTACAACAACCTTACAACACCCAACTTATAGTTGCAGCGCCACCACCATCTTACCCACCAGCTGCACAAATATTCCATATTTCATTGTCGTATCTGCATCTTACAATACCATCATCGAAAACTGATGATGCAGCCTTAAAACTACCATCGATCACCCCTAAACGTTGATAAATCACCACCGATTACACATCTCAAAAACCATAAAATTTCATAAACCAACTAAAAAAACACAGATTCTAACCATCTCAAATCTGAAAGCAAGGGCGCATGCTCTGAAATTCTCTTGCTGTCCTTTCAGTAACGGGTCCCCTTTATTCGCCTCCTATTTATGGTGGTTCTTCTCTACCACCAAGCACTTTATTGATACCGTCACTACTAATGAAGGTCGATTTTCGTTTGTTACCATCGCCTCTCCGCCTTCAGTTGCACCAAGGGTGGAGTCTCTGGAGGCCAACTAAGTTAAAGCGAAATTCCTTGTCGGGTAAGTTTCGACCCGCACGAAAGGCGTAACGATCTGGGGCATGCAACCGACAACGAGTTTCAATGGAATCTCTTGTCAAGGATTTTTTCAATATGTGAGGTGGGATGGAATGGGTATGGAGTGAAATCTAGATACATCTTATATTTGGAAAAAAAAATTGAAAAAGTGTTAATATGGTAAATTTATTTATGAATGACAATTATACTACTGTAGTCCTATAAATGATTACCATTGTATGCTTAAGTCTTCCCCATAAATATGGGGTTATGATTCTCATTATAATACTCATAAGTATATTAACTTTTATTCTCTATTATCTTTTTCTCCCTTTTCATCACACGTTATCA